ACAAAGATACGACAACTATCTTTTTCGTGACCATCAATTATATTAAGATAAAGGATAGCACCAGAAGATGAAGAAACATTGGCAATTGCCGACACAGATGATGAAACAGATCGAAGTGAGGAAGTATCATCATTTCGTTTGCTCGCGGTAAAAAGTGACGGTTGCGAGGACGGTGCTATATAGGGTGAATGACTAGTTGGCAGGTTCGGATCTGGAATTACATCGATATTATGGATAGAATATAATGCATCTAACTTCCATCTAGTATAGTAGCCTTTACCCTTATTTGTAGTGGAGCCATCATTATCAGGTATTCCGCGGATACTACCGATCGACTTCGTGTCCCAGTCTTGACCACTTGCATCATTGCTAGGCGCAACATTTGTTGGTGAGTGATTTCCACCAAATCCCATAACTCCTATTATTGGTCGTAAATTTGGGGCCGTATGCCTAACCCATTTGCGTTTACATATGACTACGCTGTCTTCAAATATAAGTAGACATACGTGTTTTTTAAACCTCATAGCTGAAGTGCGATCCACTTCATAGCAAACCTCACCATAATGATACTTTGAGATCAATGGTGAATTCATTTCAATTTCAGAATTGGTTGAGACCCCTTCGAAAATTAATTTACTAGCACTTGATTCAAAACTCGATGGACTAAGGTACATTCCACGTTCGTTGAGAGGCGAAAGAGTCGAGGCCATATCTTTAACCGTATTTAAACCTTTATTGTTTGGAAAAAAGGTTTTCAATACTGCCTCAGAAGGAGGCTTATAAAAATATAGCTTTGACCCTTTTAATTCCACGTGATATACTTTCCAACTACGTGAAGTGGATACGGATTTAACGTCAAAATCAACTCTCTTGTTCAAATATCCCTCCTTAATAATTGGAACACCTGATATTGACGAAGATCTTTCGATGGGTTTATTTTGATTTTTTCGCGCAGAACTACTACTCCCATCTGCACGTCGAGTGTCATTTACATTTGCATCGGTATTATAATTACGTAAAACGCGTCCATCAAACCGGCTAGGCTCTGAAGGACGTCGTTCGTGTCCATGACGAGGATTTATGGATTCCTCGTTCAGAGATTTAGATTTACGATTCGGAGGTTGAGGTGCTAACGTTGTTGCAGTATTTGGAGGGGATTCGTATACGGGAGGAGGGTATTTTTGAGATTCACTTTTGTTGTTAGGTTTCTTGGGCGTTATTAGCTTTGCTTTTTGTAAAGCCTTTGACGCAAAGAAAGCGAGAGTGGCCCTATTGTTAATAGCAACAGTGAAATTGGGCTTGCTTGTTAACTCGTCGTTTTCAGAGATATTTCGCGAGTCATTATTTTTCTTTGCTTTTTTGGAAAATGCACCAAACATTATAATTCTTTTCAATATAAGGATTAAGACGTTTATAGAATTCAGAATTTTATATAAGGTTAAGGTCTATATAAATAAAGAGAGAAAAAATTCTAATTTAACCTTTATTCTGTTTCATTACACACCGCCCACCGTTATATAAATAAGGTATGTTATATTTTCGAGATGGGAAAAAAAGAGGGAAATTAATGTGGAGTATGAT